GCAAGCCCGCGCCTCACCTTGTAGTGCGCCAGCTGCAGGGCGAGCTGCACGAAGGCGTCCGGGCTCGTGCGGGACTTCTTGATCAGCCCCTTCCCGAAGGCGTCGAAGGGGAAGGAATGGAAGTCCACGTCCTTGGCCAGGAGGCTGGCGCTGCTCAGGGACGTCTGGATCACCTCCTGACACTGGGGGGGAGGAGGGAGGGTTTCCCTTGTGGGGGAGGTGCTGACACACACGCAGAGGAGCATCCCAGCGCAGCCAACAGAGCTGTCGCCTGGCGACACAGACGGTGCTTTCTCGTCGGTTCTTTCCATGTGTCTGCCACATGCCCCCTCCTCGAGGCGCCCTGGGGCCCCGCAGGCAGAGCACAGCTGGGACACGGGGCCTCCTGGTTCCCGGTCGGACCCCAGAGGGCACGCCCAGCAGCCGCGGGTGTGCCCTGTAAAACCCATTACTCTACAGGGGCGATCGAGGACCCTTTTAAAAGATGAATGGACTGCGGTCCAACCACACAATGGAAATGAGCTTTCCAGCCGTGAAGGAACGTGGAGGAGCCTTCACTGCAGCCGTGAGGCGGGAAGGCCGCCCGAGGCGCCGGACGCAGCGCTCCCAGCAGAGACGGCGGGAAAGGGCAGCAGAGGGGCCGCAGGGCGGGAAGGCGGGGCTGGGACAGTCCGCCCCGGGCCCTTCGTTTTCTACATCGGAAACGACTTCCAGCCCCCAGTGAGTTCAAATCTGACAACGAAATAGAAAACGTGGCGCAGCCCTGGCCGGGGGGCTGTCAGCTGGAGCATCGTCCCCTACACGGGAAGGTCTGGGGTTCAACTCCCGGTCAGGGCACCTGCCTCGGTTTCCGGTTCAGACTCTGTCCGGTTGGGGCCTATGGGAATCACCTGATCGCTTTTCTCTCTCACATCCGTGTTTCTCTCTCTCTCTCTCTGTCTACCTTCCTCTCTCTGAAATTGATGAGCATGTCCTCAGGCGAGGATTGGAATAAAATCTTAAACCCGGTGACGCCGAGGTCTGCAAGGGTACCTTATGGTATTTCTAAAACAGTTTACAGCCAGGGGATTCTAAAGATGCATTGCTGGACATGGTTCCTTTCATTAAATGAGAAATAAATATTTTTTGCAAAGAAAAAAAAAATTACTTCTTGGGGCCCAGGAATTCCTGCTTGGATTAGACGAGCCAGGATTTGGCATTGCCAGCCCTAAAATTCCTTCCCGAAAAAACCTGTGCTGAATGGACGACATCTGAGAATCTTTAGGAGAAACAAACATGATACGTGAGTGACTTAGAGTATTTCAGCTGTAAGAGGAAGCTAGTCACGCTTTCACTGCGCAGGGTAGCGGCGTCTGAGCTGGAACTCTCCCTGACAATCTTAGCTAAAAGCTCCAAACGGAAGAAGAAGTATTCACTGGGGTTTCTCAGGCACAGGAGCGGGAGCCGCTCCACGGCCTCAGCAAAAATTTGTGAGGCGGACGAATTTCGGCCTCCGTGGTCTCCCTGTGAGCTGCGAGCACAGGTCCCGCCACGGGGACGAGCACCTGTGACCGGCCCACTCACCTCCTCCGGGATGTCCCACTGCAGCCGGCTGGGGGGTGGGATACTCGGGTTGGTGTCCCCCTTACAGTGTCCATCCTCCAAGTAGCCCAGCTGGAAGCTGTCAGTGGCCAAGACGTACTGTCGGGGAAAAGATACACGTGGGAGTCAGAGAAGATGATACAGTCCACAGTGTTAGGGAAAACGTATTTGTCCCACCTGGCCAGGGCGCTCAGTGGTTAGAGTGCCCACCCGAACACGAAAGGGTCGAGGGCTTGATTCCTGGTCAAGGGCACAGGCAGGAGGCAATTGGTCAGTGTGTCTCTCTCACATCGATGTTTCTCTCTCCCTCTCCCCGCTTCCTTACACTCTCTCTGAAGAGCAATGGAAAAAATATCCCCAGGTGAGGATGAACAAAACAAACGAAAAGAAAAAACAAAAACGTATTTGTCCTCCAAAGTAGACAAATCCTTGTTCTTTATAGAGATACTAGAGGCCCAGTGCAGGAAATTCCTGCACGGGTAGGGTCCCTAGGCCTGGCCACAGGACCCACCAAGTCCAACCCTAGATGCACACTCGAGAGAAATGAAAACAGATGTTCACATAAAACCTGTGCACACATGTTCATGGGAGCACTGCTTACAGGATTCAGAATGTGGAAACAACCCAAATGCCCACCAAGCGATAAACTGGATAAAGTGTGGCCTGCCCATACGAAGGAATACTATACAGCCATGAAAAGGGACGAAGCACGGACGCATGCCAGAGCACAGGCAGACCTTGTAAGCACACCAAGTGAAGAAGCCAGACACACAGCCCACACTGTGTGACCTCACTTCTATGGAACGGCCAGAGCTGGCGGATCCAGAGGCAGAGAGCAGGTTGATAGGCCGCCAGGGGCGGGGGCAGATGGGGAGGTCCTTTGGGGGGTGATGAAAATGTCCTGGGATTAGATAGTGCTGATGGTTTGCACAACCACCTTGTGTATATACAAAGCCCACTGAATTATACATTTCAAGAGGGGGAATTTTACAGTCCGTGAATTTTCTCTCACTAAAAAAAATAATAATAATAGTAATTAAAAAAATGGAACCCCTATGCTCAGGGCTTACATGCCAGTGGGGAGGCAGATGGTGAGGGGAATGAGGGCTCCGGGATGGGGGAGCGTGGGGGGCCACGTTCACGGGTGGTGAGTGCCACGCAGCCTGAACAGCACAGGCGGCAGGGTCCTTGCATCTGAGCTGCTGGGCATCAGAGCCGAAAGCCCAGGACATTTAAACATCAAAAACCCACTGATAGCAAACGGGGTGCAGCTCTGACCTTCGACTAGATCTGTTTTTAACTGGCACACAGCGCTGATGGACCTCCACCGGGACGGTCAGCTCCCACCGGTCCCCGTGGGGAGCACCTGGGCCCCCGTCCAGTTCCTGGACTCACAGACCATTCTGTCCGCTGAGCAAGGACAGTTAAATATAC